GCAAAGGGTGCGCCGCAATGGTGCGCGGCCACCATGTGGGCGCTGCTGCTGGGGCCTCAGGTATCCCCCCTCTTGTGGAGCCAGAGGCGTGTCAGGGGCGTGCCGAAATGAGGCGTAGCCGTCAGGCGAACGTCGCCACTGGGGCCTTCGGTGGAGTTCCTTATGGGGCCCCGACGCGTGTGAGGGGTGTGCCGAAATGTGCGGGGGGGTGCATGCGAACGTCACCATTGGGGACGTCTGTGGAGCTCTGCATGGGGACACAACACGCGTGAGGGGTGTGCCGAAATGCGCGGGGGGGGACACGCCTGCGAACGTCGCCACTGGGGCCTTCGGTGGGGCTCCGTACGGGGCCACGACGCGTGTGAGGGGTGTGCCGAAATGTGCGAGGGGGTGCATGCGAACGTCACTATTGGGGGGACGTCTGTGGAGCTCTGTACGGGGACACAAAACGCGTGAGGGGTATGCCGAAATGCAAGGGGGGGACACGCCTGCGAACGTCGCCACCGGGGCCTTCGGTGGGGCTCCGTACGGGGCCACGAAATGCGTGAGGGGCGTTCCGAAATGGGACGGGGGGTACGCATGCGAACATCACCAGAGGGGCCTTCGATGGAACTCCCTACGGGGCCACTAAACGCGTGAATAATGTGCAGGCATGGGCGGGAAGACGCATGCGAATGTCGCCTGATGTTTTCAATTGAGCTCCTAATGGGGCCACGGAGCGCTGTACTGGGTGGGGCGGGCGCAGGCGAACGTCGCCATGGGGGCCTTCGGTGGAGCTCCCCATGGGCCCACGGCGCGCTGTTCTGGGTGGGGCGGACGCAGGCGAACGTCGCCACGGAGGCCTTTAGTGGAGCTCCCTATGGGGCCATGAAGCGCTGTGATGGGTTGGGCGGGCACACGCGATAGTCGCCACTGGGACAATCGGTTGAGCCGTCTATGGGGCCACGAAGCGCTGAACTGAGCGGGGCGGGCGCATGCAAACGTCGTCACTGGGGCCTTGGGTGGAGATCTCTATGGGGCCACAACGCGCTGTACTGGGTGGGGCGGACGCAGACGAACGTCGCCACTGGGGTTTTCGTTGGAGCTCCCCATTCGGCCACGAACCGCTGTAATGGGTTGGGCGGACGCAGGCAAACGTCGCTACTAGGGCCTTTTGTGGAGCCCCCAATGGGGCCACGAAGCGCTGTACTCGGTGGGGCTGGCGCATGCGAGCGTCGCTACCGGGGCCTTCGGTGGAACTCCCTATGGGGCCACGAAATGCTGTACGAGGTGGGGCCGATGCATGCGAACGTCGCCAGAGGGGCCTTCGGTGGAGCCCCCCATAGGGCAACGAATCGCTGTAGGGGGTGGGGCGGGCGCGGGCGAACGTCACCATGGGGGCCTTCGGTGGAGCGCCCCAAGAGGCCACGGAGCGCTGTTCTGGGTGGGGCGTACGCATGCGAACGTCGCCTGTGTGACCTTGGGTGGAGCTTCCAATGGGGCCACTAAGCGCTGTACGAGGTTGGGCGGGCGCATGCGAACATCGCTGCTAGGGCCTTGGGTGGGGCCCCCGATGGGGCCACGAAGCGCTGTACTGGGTTGGGCGGGGGCATGTGGAAGTCGCCAGTGTGGCCTTGTGTGGGGCCTTCTATACGCCACGAAGCGGTGTACTGGGTGTGGCGGACGCAGGCGAACGTCGCCACCAGGGTTTCTGGTGGATCCCCCAGTGGGGTCATGAAGCGCTCTACTGGGTTGGGCGGGAGCATGCGAACGCCGCCATTGGGCCACGAAGCGTTGTACTGACTTGGGCGGGCGCATGTGAGCGTCGCCATTGGGGCCTTGGGTGGAGGTCCCCATTCGGAGCCAAGATTCGCTGTACTGGGTGGGGCGGACGCATGCAAACGTCGCCATTGTGGCCTTGGGTGGAGCTCCCCCCGGGGCCATGAAGCATGTGAGGGATGTGCCGAACTGCGTGGTTTACATGCGGAGAGCAGAGGCACGCAGGGGAGGAGGGGGGAGGAGGATGAGGGGGAGGACGAGGAGCTGGAGGAGGAGGAACAGGAGGGAGGAAGACGCGTGGCGCTGTCTCTTCAAAACGAGGGCCCAGCACTACATGATGGTTGGGGAACTGCTCTGAATCAGCAGCGGCGCGTGACGTCAGCAAGATCTCTTGCCTTCAGCAATGGCTATTGCTATCGAAGGCAGCGTTACCCCTCTGATTGCGGGCGAGTGGTAAATATTATAGTAGATGCGCGCGTTTCTCCGTGAACGTCGCACGCTCGAAGTACGGCGTCGAACGCTTGGACGCGCTGCTCACCGAGAGAAATCATGCTTGGGTGGTGCATGTAGCTCTTTTCTTGTTGTGGGTGCCAGACCATTGCGCCCTGATCTATGTCTTGAGGTTCCATGGTCAGTCGTACCGTAGTACGCTCCAGCCAGTGTATGGACAGCGTGCGTGCTGGGACGTTTCGAAAATTAGCCTGGCGAAGAGCCCAACCATATGCAGTTGTCAGTACCGCAGCTGCGGGTTTCATCTTCAATGGAACTCCCCATAGGACTACGGAACGTGTGAGGGGTGTGCCGAGATGGGTGCCACTGGGGCATTCGGCGAAGCTCCCTATGGGGACATGAAACACGCGCGGGGCGTGCCGACATGCGTGGCGGAAACGCATGTGCGGGCCGCCACTGGGGCCTCCAGTGCAGCTCCCTGCCGCTACTGGGGCCTTCGGTGGAGCTCCCTATGGGGCCACGAAGCGCGTGAGGGGTGTACTGGGATGTGTGGCGGGGACGCATGTGAGCGCCGCCACTGGGGCCTTCGGTGCAGCTCTCTATGGGGCCACGAAACGTGTGAGGGGGTGTGCCGAATTGGGTGCGGGTGGTGACGCATCCGGGCGGTGCCACTGGGGCCTTCGGTGGAGCTCCCTATGGGGCCACGAAGCCTGTTGTTGTGAGGGGCGTGCCGGGATGGGTGGCGGGGACGCATGTGAGCGCGGCCGCCGGGGCCTTCGGTGGAGCTCCCTATGGGGCCACGAAACGTGTGAGGGGTGTGCCGAATTGGGTGGGTGTGGGTGACGCATATGCGCCGCCAGTGGGGCCTCCGGTGGATGATGGGGCCACGAAACCTGTCAGGGATGTGGTGCCGAAATGGGTATGCGGGACGCATGCGCATGTGAGCGCCGCCACTGGGGCCTTCGGTGGAGCTCCCTATGGGGCCACGAAACGTGTGAGGGGTGTGCCGAAATGGGTGTGCGGGACGCATGCGGCGGCAGCACTGGGGCCTTCGGTGGAGCTCCCTATGGGGCCACGAAACGCGTGAGGGGTGTGCCGAATTGGGTGTGCGGGACGCATGCGGGCGGCAGCACTGGGGCCTTCGGCGGGGCTCCCTATGGGGCCACGAACGTGTGAGGGGTGTGCCGAATTGGGCGTGCGGGACGCATGCGGGCGGCAGCACTGGGGCCTTCGGTGGGGCTCCCTATGGGGCCACGAAACGTGTGAGGGGTGTGCCGAATTGGGTGTGCGTGACGCATGCGGGCGGCAGCACTGGGGCCTTCGGTGGGGCTCCCTATGGGGCCACGAAACGTGTGAGGGGTGTGCCGAATTGGGTGTGCGGGACGCATGCGGGCGGCAGCACTGGGGCCTTGGCAGCCACGAAACGTGTGAGGGGGCCCGGGACGCATGGCAGCACTGGGGTCGGTGGGCTCCCTATGGGGCCACGAAACGTGTGAGGGGTGTGCCGAATTGGTGTGCGGTGACGCATGCGGGCGGCAGCACTGGGGCATTCGGTGGGGCTCCCTATGGGGCCACGAAGCGTGTGAGGGGTGTGCCGAATTGGGGTGCGGGACGCATGCGGGTGGCAGCACTGGGGCCTTCGGTGGGGCTCCCTATGGGGCCACGAAACGTGTGAGGGGTGTGCCGATTGGGTGTGTGGGGACGCATGCGGGCGGCAGCACTGGGGCCTTCGGTGGGGCTCCCTATGGGGCCACGAAACGTGTGAGGGGTGTGCCGAATTGGGTGTGGGTGACGCATGCGGGCGGCAGCACTGGGGCCTTCGGCGGAGCTCCCTATGGGGCCACGAAACGGTGTACTGGGTGGGTGAAGAGGAGAGGAGGAGAGGAGAGGAGAGGAGGACGCGGGGACCGTCTCTTCAAAACGAGGACCCAACACCACAGGATGGTTGGGGAAAAAACAAGTGCATGTGGGAGTACACGCCACACGCAAGGCTGATAAGCTTCATTGCAGGGGCGGGCGTCTAGCTCGTTGTTCTCCATTTCTCCCCACATCATTGTTTACCCGATTAGGGTGGCTTCGGCACCAGAATTGTCCAACAGCCACGTAGCAGTATCGATAGCCGTCGCTATCATGATCACTGGTCGCACCTTGAGGCCACGTTCCACTCGTCTCAAAAGTGGGCCACAGCTTCCAAGGTAGAGGCCGATTGATTTTCAAATGCTGCTCTCGCCTACGCGATGCGTGCATGTTCCTGATCTGTTCGCGAGGGCTTCAGGGATGGCGACAGATTAATGTTCGACATGTGACTCTCGATGTAGTGCCGCACGCATTCGTTGCAAAACCTTGCTACTTGCACATTGATGGATCATTTTCAACATGCGGCTCTTGCCTTGGCGCTGAGTACATTCGTGCAGATAGATGACGGAACTTGTTCGTACTTCGGCCTCGGCTTGACCCTTCCTCGCAACACTCAATCTTGAACACTGCTCGGACAAATGAGCAACTGCGCGGATGAAGGGTTTTTGCTCGCATACTGGGCTTTTGCTCGGGAGGTCCTCAAACTTAGCGATCATACGGGTAGTTTTATGCAGCAGCTGCACGGTTGGGGGCTGGACGGGGAGGGGAGCGAAGAGGAGGGAGGAGGAGCAGGTCGATGTGGGGGTGAACAGCGATGATGAGAAGGAGGGCGATACCGATATTGTCGCTGTTGTCAAGTTGTAATCATCCAAGGCAGACGGTGAAGAGGGCGAGGGCGATAGTGGTGTTGCTGCCAAGTTGTAATGATCCAGAAGGACCCTCATCAAGCAACTCTGTAGCGCCCTGGACCACATGCACGGCAAACGCATCGTCCACCGCGACGTGAAGGCTTGGCGGCGCGCAGAAGGGTATGGGTCGACGGGGCCGTTTTTTCGAAGCTGTGCGGCTTATAGGTTTTGATGCGCCAGGCCGCCCCAATATGGAAAATGCCCCGACCTTCTTAGAAGGCCGCCCCCCCCCGCCTTGGAAGGCCCGTGGAGGCCCCCAGAGATGGGCAAAGAAATTTCGTTTCTTCGCCCTTCAGCAAAACGTATACTTTTTTGTGTAGCTTCATGCCTGCTCAGAAGGCGGCCCCCGTCACCCTGTCCCCTGTTTGTGGTGTGTCACCACAAGGCGGAGAACGTCCTTGTGACGAAAAATTACGATGCCAAGCTGATAGACATGGGCATCGCTTGCCAGTGCGGACGTTGTCGTCGTCGTCGTTATCGTCGTTTTCGTCGCCGGAGAACTCGGAGGAGGCAGGCCTCCCTCCTCCATGTTACTTCCTGTCTCAGAATCGCTGGTCTCCGAACATGTTCTGGATCGCGTTGCGCCCGGGATTTCGGGCCAGATCTGGCAGTTGCGATAAAAGGGTGCCCAGAAGGCCCCAAAGGCACCAACATCAAGACACCGTCATCACATTCCTACCTCCGTCGTCCCCCGCTCCTGGGCCCTATTGGAACCCAGTAAGGGCCAATTTGCCATAAGGCCTCATGGCGACGGCGGCGGCGACAGAACCCAGACCTCCTCGAACCCCCGATAACCTCGAAACATGTTTGAACCTGGGAGCGGTCCTCAATGCGTGGGTCGGCCCACCACAGCAAGGCTTCTTGCGACACCGGCCACGACGAACGTGCTCGACGTCAACTCTGACAGTATGTCCACCGCGCTTCAATCGGACTCCGGCGCCTTCGTTCTCGCTTTTGCGTGTGAGTTTCTGTCGTTCTCGTAGGATTGCTTGCACGACGTGCTGCGCCCCTTGGGACTGCCAGCGTCGGTCCAGGAGATCCGTGAAGCGCCTGTACGACAGCTGCCGGTGCCAAATTGTGGCTCAACGGGCAGACATTACATGGACTCCCCTGGACGGCAGGCGTCCAGCAGGGATGCCCATTGTCTGTTCTGAGGTGCGCCATATGCCATATGCGCGGAACCGCTGCTGGACAAGACCGGGCAACGTGCCCCAGCAGTTTGGTACGCGCATCTTCATATGAAACCGCTGTCATGTCCGCAAATGTTTGGAGGAGGCTCCCCGAGTGGCAGCTTTCTTCGAAGAGTTCGCGGCCATATCTGGGCGCATACGTAATTTGCAGATGACAATCGTCATTCGGTTGTTCGCACTTGTGCCGAGGTGGTCAACCACCCAGTTGGCACTTGCAGGGAAGCAGCTGGGATTCGACGAGGGCCCGGGCAGCCGGGACCTGCTCTGAAAGGATCTGGAGGCGCTCAACACAGCGTGCCTTGTTATTGGCAGGCCACCCGCTCGGACTGCACTGCTCAACCCTGGCATACAAAACAGGTTTGCGAATTCGGTTCTCCATTTTGTTGCGCAAATCAACGAGCCGACGGAGGACGTTCGACTAGGCCCCCAGCCCTGGTAATGGACCGCCGGGAATATCGATGGTGGCTACAGCATTTTTACCATGTCCAACATGTTTTGCGAGACCTTCGACTTACCGCTCAAGCAGCACAACTGCGCGCTGGAGTGTGGGTCGCAGCCTGCGGCGACCACCCCGCTGAACCAGGCACCCCCGTGGACTTCCACCTCCCAGGCGACGGCGCACGTCCCCCCAGTGCCGACCCTCTCCTCCGCGCTCCCAATAATGCGAACGACAACTGCACCTTTGACCGGCGCGCCCGGTTCCTCATATCACTTCTGGGAGCCACAGACCGCTTGCAGGAGCGATCCACGTGGGATCGACGGTCCCGGCACCCCTGTTACCTCCGCTTGGATACGACTTTCTCGGGCCTGACGACGCGTTTGGGGACGCCTGCCGAGTTGCATCGATCCATGGTACCGACGCGGCCGACCCTCCACGCCGCGAAGGGACTCGGGCCGCTGTCGCGCCCGTCTCCGATCCACCGTGCATGCTCGACTATTGCAGGCGCACGCTCCGCGAGCCGAACGCCGCATCCGGCACGCATGCGGACTTTTGTACCTCAACCTGCCCGACGCGCCCACATCACTAGCTTGTTCCCCATTTGGCAGCGCGCGGAAAATCGGCACGGCCGGGCAGCTCCCCATCATTTCAGATTGCTGAATGCGCTGGTGACTTCGAGAAGGCAACCAGCGATCTTCAGCACCACGTGGAGTCGATCGGCCAACGCTCGTCGCTTTCAACGGCGCCACGAAGGCCCGCGCCTCCTGCGCAGAGCACCCCGCGCCCAAGACTCGATTGAGCATTGCGCGAATTTCCCTGTGGTTGAGCGGCTTGCCGCGCGTTGTCTGCACCTCGACCCGCGCCAACTCGTGAACCTCCATTCGTTCTTGTCGGTGAGTTCGTTGGTCAATGCCGAGGGGATCCTCGCGGAGGTCGCCCTTCTGCTAAAGCGACGTGCACTTGCGCCAATTGCCAACGGCACACGCAGACCCCTCCCACCGACAGAAGCCGCCCACGACGCAATGACCGGGTAGTTTTCGTGAAGCCGTTCGCGGCCACGGTCCCTCCACCCGCGCCCTTGCCCGACGCTGGGTTCCGAACGCTATCCATCAGCTACCCTGGGCGCCGTGATCCCATTGCGCTCGCCGCCGCTCCGCAGAGCACCGCGACCGATTTCACCCGCCCGATGCACTGCGCCCCACCGCCCCAATCCTGCACGCCGATCCCGCCTCGCCATCCTGCTTGCGAGCCCACGCAAACACCTGCGGCAACCAGCCCACAATGCACCCGCAGCGGACCCTCAGCAACCGACCCATTCAGCCCCGCTGCGCCTGAACTGGCAGCATGAAAAAACGTCAGTACCAACGCCGCGCAAGCGCGCGCGCCGACGGCGCCGACGCCGGCGCATACCTCGGCGCCTGCACCAGCATCAGGGCATAGTATGTTTGGTCGACCAGATCATAGATGCGGTTTGGTCGGCGCAAGCCCCGCAGCGCCCGCCCGCGCACAGTTTCGATATCGCTGGTGGCGAGCGGAGTCAAGGGCGGTAGCGCGAATAACTACGGCAGTCACCTAGCAAGCACGGCGCGCAGCTTAAAGCGCCTAAAAGCAGCAACCCCGACTTTTGCCGCGTCCGCCGCGCATGTCATCATCGGGCGGCCCCTGCGCCGTCGGGGCCGCCGAGCGCGACCTCGGCGGGGCCCGACGCGCGGACTTATCCCTCCATTTGGCGAGGTCTTCGGCGGTGGGCTGGGCGTCCAATTGTTTCGTGTTCCTTGCGTTGTCGCCTCGAAGTTCCGGTCGCGAATGTCCATTGTTTCGTTGTCTTGTCTGCGCGGGCTGCGTCTGACTTTTCTTGCTCATTGTGCATGGGCGGCGTCTTCGCGTTCTGAGTTGGTTGTGTCTCTGATTCGAGGTCCGCGTCGCCGCTGGCGTTTGGGCGGATGGCGCGGCGACGTTGCCCTGGCGGCGTGGCGGCGCGAACGTGGCCAGCGGCAAATATGTCTCGTCCAAACGCGGACTGAGCCCTCAATTTGGCGGTGGGCGACCCCGCGCGACGAGTCCAAGATTGACGCGGGGCGCGCGCGAACAACAGTTTCGGCAAAGACCGGCGTCGAGGCACCAGCGCCGGCGTCATCGCTGGCTCTGACGCCAGCGCCGACGCCAGCGCCGGCGCAATCGCGGGCGCCTCGGTCGCGCTGTCGTCAGTGCCGACGTCCGCGCGAACGCCTGCGATTGCGCCGGCGCCGACGCCGACGCCTCAGCAGCGCCGACGCCTGCGCTGACGCCAGCGCGAGCACTGTGCCTGAGCTGGCGCCAACGCCGACTCCTGCACCGGCGCCGACGTCATCGCCGACGCCAGCGTTAACGCCGACGCTTGCACCAGCAACGACGTCAGCACCCTTGCCAGCGCGAGCGCCTGCAACGGGGCCGCCACTCACGCCGACGCCAGCAAGAAAGCCAGCGCGAACGCCGGCGCCTTCGACGGCACCAACGCCGGCGCCCACGCCAGCATCGATGTCATCACCATCGCCAGCGCGAGCGCCAGCGCCAGCGCGCGATTCAGCACCGACGTCGGCGAACCCCTACGACGACCCAGCGCCGACTCCAGCGCGTGCACTGGCGTCGACACCAGCTCTGACGCCAGCACGAAGGCCCGCGCCTGCGACGGAACAAACGCCAGCGCCTACAACAGCACCGACGCCACCACCAACGCCAGCACCAACGCAGACTCTGACACCAGCACCGACGCCAGCTCCGACAGCAGCGCGAGCGCCTGCGATCACGCCTGCACCAACTCCAGCGCCATCGCCAGCACCGACGCCAACAGTGAAACCAGCACGAACGCCGGCGCCTGAGCCAGCGCCAACGTCAGCACCTCAATGTGCGCCAATGTCATCGCCGACGCCAGCATCAACACCGACGCCAACACCATTTACAGACGCCAGTGCCTTGGCCAGCATGAGCACCTGCGACTCAGGCGGCACCGACGCCAGCGCCTACACCGGCGCAGACGCCATTTGATGACGCAATCACGAGCATCTGCGGTTGCGTCGGCATCGACGCCAGCGCCGCCGCCAGCCCCGATTCCAACGCGGGTTCCGACTCCAGCGCTTCCTCCGACGACTACGACCTCCCAGCGGCTGGATTCGATTTGCGGCCCTAGAGCAGGGCGCTGCGCTGCTGGACCCAGCGCGAGCTGGTGCCACTTCCCGTTCCCGTCGCCTTGCAGCCCCCACCGCGCCTTGGGGCGGCGACCAACAATGCTTGAACGTGGCCGCGGCTGTCTTCCTCAGCCGCGGCACCATCAATATGGGCATAGAGGTCTTGATACCGGCGCCGCGGCACGGCGTCGCGATGGCGACGGCGCGAGCCGCTTTCCTGCGCTGAAGCCGGTTTCCTCGCCAGCTTATAAGTTTTCTGTTTGCGCGCGCGCTCCGGGCGCGTCGCGGGCCCAGCTTTCCCCTCTGGCTGCCCCGCTCCGACAGAGGAGGCGCCGCGAATTATGCATGCCCCTTTGGAGTGCTGGGGCGCCCCTGCCGCGCGCGCCTGCGCGCGCGTGCTATGTCGCGCGGTCGCGGGAGGCTGCGCCTCCAGCGGGCGTTGGACCTCCTGCGGTGGTAGTGGTGCGCGCTCGTTGTCATGGTTGCCTTTCTCCTCCCCCCCCTCGCTTCGCCCTGCCCCCGCCGCGGCGCCGATGCGTCTCGGGGCGAGTGCGCGTCCTTGCATGCGCTCGAATTTCCGCTCCTTTCCCATGCGCTGGCCCTGGTAATGCTCGTCGCAGGTAGTTCCTCTCGCAGCGGCATTCTTTTCGCGGGGGGCAGACTTTGTCCTTCCGGGCGGGCGCCTCCAGCAGGCTGCGCAGGGTCCGCGACGGCTACGTTGGAGCTTCGCGGCGCACCCCCCCCCCCCCCCCCCCCCCTCAAACGCAAATCTTTGAATGTGCGAAAAACCTCTGGGCGCCGCCGAAAGTGTCCGAGATGCGCCGTGGAAGGCGACGAAGGCGACGACAATTCGCGAAGCCGTGGCAGGCGCAGAGGAGGGGGGATGGGAGGAGGCAGTCTGCATTATATCTCTTTCGCTCTCTCTCTCTCTCGCTCTCTATCTCTCTCTCTCTCTCTCTCTCTCTCTCTCTCTCTCTCTCTCCTCTCTCTCTCTCTCTCTCTCTCTCTCTCTCTCTCTCTTTCTTTTCCTCTCTTTCTTTAGTTCCTTAACTATACTTGTTGCTTGTCCAGTATCTCCCTCTCTCTCTATCTCTCTTTTCCTTTTCATGTGTGTATTTATTTGTTGTTTCTCTCTCCCTCTCTCTCTCTCTCTCTCTCTCTTGCTCTTTCTCTCTCCCTCTCTTTTTTTTTGTTTCTCTGTCTCTCTCTCTCTCTCTCTCTCTCTCTTTCTCCTCTCTCTTCTCTCTCTCTCTCCTCTCTCTCTCTCTCTCTCTCTCTCTCTCTCTCTCTCTCTCTCTCTTCTGTTTTTCTACTTTTGTTTGTGTTTCTCGCTCTCTCTCTCTCTCTCTCTCTCTCTCTCTCTCTCTCTCTCTTTGTATCTCTCTCTCTCTCTCTCTCTCTCTCTCTTTCTCTCTCTCTCTCTCTATATATATATCTCCCACTCTCTCTGTGTCTCTCTCGGGCGATTGTCACGTTTGTCCTTTATGGTCTTGCGATCCGATGGGCGCTCGGTTCCGGGGGGGCCCCGTGACCTACGGTCGGCGATCGGCGGACAGGGCAGCCTGCGGGGCGCGAGGGGGGGCGGCGGCAGCTGCGCGATGATGGGCAGCGCGCCGACGCACGGCCATCCGCGTCAGAGGAGCAGGTCGACGCAGCCAGCGCCGTTTTGAGCCCGCCTCTGCGCGATGAGCTCAAGCACGTGCGATGGCGCATAGAGAATGGCCACTCGAGAAAGGCGAAGGAGGCCAAGGGCGCTCAGAAGGCGGGCCGCGAGGCTCAGCCTTCGACGCGGTCGAGTGAGAATCTGGAGGTCGCCCCAGTCGACGCTACCTCCTTTGCAAGCATCGAACCGTTGCCTGAAGGATACCAAGACTTTGAGCGATGGTTGAGGTTCTGTCGCAGGAAACACTTGTGGGTGCTTAAAAGAGTCCGTCTGTTGCCGACAGTCTGTCGCGAGCGGGATGGCGCGCGCTGCGCGCTTGGCGTTGGAGTTGAACCGCGCTTATCAGGGCCCGGGGGCCCGCTCTTTGTTGCGCCGATTCGGCGAGGAATGGATTGCGTTGGGATGGCAAGAGTGCGTGCGTCGCGCCTTGTCGCGCTTCGACTGCCTGCAATTCGGGCTTCGCGAAGCGCGGCGCCACGGCCGTCAGCGCGCTGCCGCGCGGGGCAAGGCGTGTCGCCAGGGGGCGCGAGCAGACTGCTCGACGCATCTGAGCACCCGAAAGCGCATCTGGGCGCCGTTCGTCGCGGGCGGCGTCTTCGCGGCGACGCCGACGGGGATTGCGCGGGCCGTCTTTCGGCGCTTCGACGCGGAGGCGCGGGCCCCGTCGGCGGGGGCGCGCGCGCCTGCATTCCGCGCGATCCATAATTTCCCGGTGCTCGAGGGCCCGCTGCCCAAGAAGGCGAAGGTCGAGCCAGACGTGCCCGCGACCCCGCGCTCGGCCGCTTCGTTGGGTTTAGTGAGATACACGGGTCAGCCGCGGGTCCGCGCTGCGCCGGCGCCCAGGCCGTTTCCCGTGGAGCAACCGCTCGGATGCCCATCGTTCGAACGTGATTCCATTTGGGCACAGCTGCGCGTGTTGAACGATTTCCGAGCCGTCGAGAGCGCGGTGGCTGTTCGCGTCGGCGGCGGAACGCTATCGGGGCATCTTCTATCAGATTAACGGTCTTTCTTGGATGTCTGGCATGCGTGGGACCTGGGCCTCCTGATGAGTCCGGCGGTCAAAGGAGGGGCCGCCGACGTGGCTCGCAAGGATGCGGCGGCCAGGTTCGCCACGTTCATGACACGGGTCCGGAGCCGGTATGCGGGAGGGACTGGAGCGCTGCGCGCGATGGCTCGGGGGCCTCTGGAGAAGGGCCTCTGGAGTGGCACGGTCGCTTCATTAATCCGGAGGCCGCGCGCAGGCCCCTCAACCAGCAGGAGGAGATTATGGCAGCTGCAAGGGGCGCGAAGTGAATGGTAGAAGTTCGAGGAGGACCGCCACATCCGTGACTGACTGGGCCGCGGACCTTGGAGCCCGCCCCCGTCGCCCGTCGATCGAGGAGACGAAGAAGGCATTTCGGTCGTCCAAGTCGACGGCTGGGATGTTTTCTTGGGCGCCAGTCGCCCATGGCAGCTGCGTGAGTTATGCGACGCGGCCGTTGCGCGCCTCATGGTCTCGTCGTCGCGATCGAGCTTCAGGCAGGGCGGCCGCCGAGATTGCGCGTTCGGCGAAGCGGCTGGGGGGCGCCCGGCCGATCGCGGCGCCGCGCGCGCGGCCGAGGATCCAGGCGCGCCCCTGGAGATCCATTGCTTCGAACTGGGAGGTCCGACCTAATGGGCGCCAATTCTGGGCGCCTCCAGGGGCGTCTCGCGAACTGGCGGCGCGGCGAATAGCGGCGCGGCCCCAGTGGGCCACGCTGGCAGGGAAGGGGGCCCAGGAGGGCTTCCGCGCGTCGACGCAGGACCTTATCTGAGAAAAGCATCCTAAGAGGTCCATCACCATTGGCTGTTGGATGCGGCAAAGCGGGGTGGTTATCCCCTGTCGCCGCTTCGTCTTCAGGCCCCCTCGGGGCCCCCCTGCGCATTTGGCTTTGCGCCCTGGGCGAGCGAGGGTCGGCCGGGCCATCCAGCCGGGCGACGGCTGGGCCACCGCTTGTTTGGAGATGGCGTTCATGCAGCCGCTGGGCCAGTTTTCGCCACGTGGCAGATCAGGGTATATTGCAGCCGTCGTTGATCACATCACCCTGCACATCGTCGGCTCGGCTAGTGCGGTTACCTGGGGTATCGCTCAGGCAGCAGAAGCGCTCGAGAGGGCCCCTGCCATGTTCAGCTGGAAACACATGATGACCAGACGAGGGCGGTGCCAAACAACCTCCAGGCCAGGACGGACGCGGCCAGGCAGCTGAAGCAGCTTAGAGCGCTACCGGTTTGGCGCGAGCAGAATCTCGGGATCGACCCCGCGCGTGGGCGGCGAATGCTGGGGCGTGCTCCACATTGGCGCATTGGGGCCACGCGCGCGAGAGAGAGTTGGCCGCGCGGGGACGTTTGATTATGGGTTCGAAAACGAGCGACGGTGGCTTGTGCAGTCGGACAGGTGGGGGCGCCCCGCGGGTCGCGAGTGGTTGGCCCGCCAAGAACGGAGCGCACCTCGGCGCGCAGTTCACGACGACGGGTCCCCGCACGGCAGGCAAATAGCGCGCCGTGGCGCGGGTGTTCGGCGGGGAACTCAACCCGATGCGTGGAGTCACCCCCTTTCCCCAGCAGGCACTTTCTGGCGGGGCCCTGCAACAGTCCTGGGCGCCCGCAGGCCGTGAAGTGAGCGTATTGGTCTTAGGTGCAATGGCCGCTTGGGGTCATCGAGGCTTCACTGGGGTGGACTTCTTAGAATCATTATTCAGATGGCCTGCTATCCTGGGCCATGCATGACGGCATTCGGTCTATTGTTCGTGAGTGCTCCGTGTGCTGGTGGGCCATGGGCATGGGGGCGCGGCAGTGGGACGCGTTGGCCAGCTACGAGTGCCTGCGGCACTTGTCTGAGGCGCCAATCCGTTTTCGCCAGTGTTCCGATGGGCGGTTCTAGGCCGCAGACGGCCCCATGCAAGGAGTTAGGCTGCCTCGCTGTCGAGCAGCGAGCCTGCGGTCTGATGGATGGGCGGCCGGCAACGGCGAGGCAGTTCGAAGCTGGTTTCGCGGCGAATCCGAGTTGTCTCATTTGCCCTGGGGTCGGGCCACAGCAAGCGCTGCGAGTGCCAGGAGTGGTGGGGCAGGCCTTCCGTGCCCGAAAGATTTATGATGTTGCTCGACAGGTTGCCTCACCCGCAAGCGCAGCGCCCCTTGAGAGGGCGAGGTGGTCAGGTCCTGCTCCGCCGGGTCATTCCACATTCCCGAGGATGATTGCGTCGCGCGGCAGATGCACGCGGGCGACAGTATCACCGAGGCCAGGGAAGTGCCCCTGGACGGCTCTCAGCATAAGGAGGACGGGGGTCGGGTGAGCCCCAGGGGGCGGGCGCTCGCGGCGCTGCATTCTGAGGGCCTGCTGGGTGAGCGAGCTGTCATCCACGGGGTCCTTCTGTTTGTCCTGCCTCGAGATATTGGCAGGGCTGAGCTTCGTGCACATGTCAAGCTGCCGCAAGTTAGTGTACCGCCTGTGGTGGCGGTGCCCGATGATAAGTTCGTTGGCGATGGCGTGAGTGACCAAGGTCCAGTAGCGGCGACGATCGCTCACTGCTCGGCCCGAGCCGGTTGGTTGCGCGGTCTATGGGCGGAACTCCAGGACTTCGGTGGGCCCTGGCCATCGAGGGTTCCAGGATGGGAATGCCAAGGCCCGCCTGTCCGAGTCCGACGCCGTCCGCGGGTTGATTTTGCGAAGGGATCGCGTCGGCAACTACAGCGCGGACGTAGGGTTTCGCCAGAAGCTCGCGAGACGATTCGTATGTCTCAGGCATTGGTCGAGGATTGCGCGCGCTGGACTGCGCGAACTGGCTCGGTCGCTAATTCGCCCGACGCCGTCGCGCTGAGACCTGGCGCCAGGGCCCTGATTAAGGCGAGTAAGGCCCCTGGGATATTGGTCGTGTTTTTCCCGAAGCCCCGCCATGAGTTGCTCGGACCCGCAGGGGCCAATTCATGCGCGAGGTGGCGGGAGCCAGAACCATCGCCGTCGGATTGTCCTGGGTCGGTGGTCTCCACAGCCGCTGAGGCCAACAGAGTGCTGCGCGAAGGACGGAGCGTAGGTCATAGGCTGGTGCGCTGTCGAACACCAGGCGCCCATGACCGCCCCACGTTTGCAGCTGTCGCGTGTGTGAGTTGCGGAGCGGCGTCGGCACGCCAGCTCAGGTATCTCTTTCAGCCTTGCAGAAGTCCTGGGGTCCATGGCCAACGCGCCATTCGGGCGTTGAAGGAAGGTTGTGTGCCCCATGTTAGAGGGGCGGAAGACGCGACTACAATCGTCACGGCTGAGTAGGGTGGAGCACAGACGTGGCCCGCCTGATGATGCGCTGCGCTTAAGAAGAGGAGTATCGCCGTCCGCGATAAGGGAGAGACATCGGATCTATTATTTGTTTCTCCCGCGTGCCTTCCCCACTTCCGGAGGAGGGAGCGAGGGGAGAAGGGAAAGGTGCGGTCTCTCCTCCTCGTCGTCCTCCTCCTCCTTTTCCTCTTCCTGCTTGGTCTTTTTGATTCGGTGTATAAGGGGCCCAAGGATATCATCGGAGGTGGTTTTAGTGGCCTCGGGACGCCTCAGGAGGTCCACGAAGAACCGACACCATCAAACCCAGTACGTATATGGGTACCCCTCCTCCTCCTCCTCCTCCTCCTCTTCCTCCTCCTCTCCTCGATCCTCTTCCTCGCTGTCCCCGTTGAAGCGCAAGGCTCGGGAGCAGCAGCGGAGAAAGGAAAACATAAATGGAGAAGCAGGGTGAAGAAGGATTTCGTCCTCCTTCTCCACCTTCTCCTCCTCCTCTTCCTCCTCCTCCTCCTCCTTCTCTGGTCTCCTCCTGCTTCTCCCCCTCCTCTTGCTGCTGGTTCTGCGCCCCCTCCTCCTTTTCCTTCTCCTTTTCCTCCTCCTCGTCCTCCTCCTCCTTCTCCTTTTCATCCTCCTCCTCCTGCTCCTCCTGCTCCTCCCCCACCTCGTCGTCGTCGTCCTCCTCCTCCGCCTCCTCCTCATTCTCTGTTTCTCCTCCTTCTCCTCCTCCTCCTCCTCCTCCGTCCCTGTTGTTTGGCCTTCTTCCCCTGCCGGGGCAAGCGCATGGCCTCGCTACGGCGACGACGGCGTCGTCGGCGGCGCCAGCGCGGCGCCGATGTGTCGAGGTGCGGGATCAGAGAGGAGCGGTGGGTTTGGGCCTCCAAGACGTACTTCCCGCCAGAGCTGTGCCAGGGGCTCGTCCCGCAGGACACCAAGGTGGACACTTGGGGCCGCGCGGGATATCGCGAACTAGCGCGCCGCCGTCGCCTTCGCCGCTGTCGTCGCCGCCGTTGTAGTCGCCGCCGTCGCCGTTGTCACCGCCGTGTTCGAAGGAAGCGGAGGAGGAGGAGGAGGAGGAGGAGCAGGAGGAGGAGGAGGAGGAGGAAGAGGAGCAGGAAGAGGCGGAGGAGGAGGAGGAGGAGGAGGAGGAGGAGGAGTTTTTTTCCCCGCGACCACAGAGCCTACGAGGAGGAGGAGGAGGATGAGGAGGAGGAGGAGGAAGAGGAGGAGGAATGACGAAGTGAAGGAGGAGGAAGAAGAGGAGGAGGAGGAGTTTTGGGCGGCAGTCGACGATTTCTCACGCTACCAGGTTCCAGGCCCCAGAAGGAGGAATAGGAGTAGGAGCGGGAGCAAGAGGAGGTTGAGGAGGAGGCTAGAGTATCGAGGACCGAGTTGCTGAAGCGTCTCCGGGGCCTTTCAGGACCTCCGCGAGTGTTCTCGTGGCCACAGCTGGATCTGCCTCGAGATTCTGGCCAGGATTGACTCTGGCAGTGGTCGAGGTCTTCATTGTGAGGGCGTAGGATGAGTAGGGGAGAGGAGGGAGGAGGGAGGAGTTCGTTTCCTTCTCCTTCTCCTCCCCTCATACATGGGCTCCGCAAAACTAACCAGTTACGACTGGCGTCTTCGCCGAATGTTGGGTCCCGTAGCCCCTACTACTACGGACCGATCCAGCTCGAAGGATGTAGCAGAAGGACGTTGTGGACATGCCTGCTCGTGATTCCAAAATTGTGATTTAGTGACGTTGGATTTCAGGGTCTTCATCGAACTCCTCTTCCGTGTCGTCCTCCTCTCCCGATTTCCCATGCGGGGATCGCGGATCGCGGACCGCCTTCGCCCAGCTTACAAGCATACTGCCCGCGCCGCGTCCACATCCTGTGCTCTCTGGCTGCCTCTTGCTGAAGCGTCCGGCGTAGCCCCTATTTTTCAGGACGAGGGGACGAGGACGAGGGTGATGGATGAGGAGGAGGAGGGGGGGGGGCGGAGGACGAGGAGGAGGAGGAGGACTATAGTGCACCCAGGACGCATGAACGATAGTGCAGCACACCGTCACCCGTATGTTCCAAGTCTTCTCCTCATAAGCTCTGCAGTTCTTCGCACTTCGGGAAATGCCTTCGTGAACGACGAGCGCCTGGAAGAACCGCAACCCGCATAAAATAGAGCCCCCCCCCCTTAACCCTTGTATCTGTTTGCCCACAGGATTGAATGTTGTTCAGTTGCCGCAGCAAGCGGGGGTGCCGAACTGTATTATCCTCCCCAACTTTCCTATCGTAGCTCTGATCTTCATCTCTTGCATAGCACCATGAATAATCCTTACGAGTATGTTTGTGCGGATCTAAGGTGAAACGCACAGTTTCGAAAATTCGCCGGATTCGGTACTATCAGTGTTCGATGATGCCTCAAGCAACGCGCTGTTTTGTGTTAAAGGCACTGTCGCGAACATGCCATTGGTGTGAGGATGTCGCAGGCGGAACGCTCAATTTTTCGAGGTACCCCTCCCATTCTTCCGTCCACGCGGACATCTTAACATCGATATCTCCGGGAGCAGGTTTGTCATCTTCTTTGGACCCCGAATTTGACCACCCCCAAGGATTATTTAATCGCTTCGCTCATGCCGCCGGCCCTGGAGCCCTCTTTAGGGCCTCTTGGGGACCTCTTGGGAGTCTCTTGGGGCTCCTTAGCGGCGTTATGGAGGCCCCCAGGGCCTCTTGGGGGGCTCTTGGGGGTAGTCGATTGCGGCTCCCCTCTCGGAGGCCACGATCCTCGTGAGGGGTGTCGAAAAATACCCTCCCCTGGAGTGGTCTGGTGGCTTCTCCCGGGCTTCTCTCGGGACCTTGCCGGGGTACTTTTCGTCCGGGGGCCCCCAGGGGCCGCTCCGCGCGCGCGAACTAGAAATATTGTTAACAAGTTACCGGAGATCTTAGCACGCCTCTGGCCCGTTGGGCCGGCGAATTCGCACCCGCGTAGGATTTGTCGCGCCGTTCATTCAATAGCCCCGCTTTTGGTAGAAAAGATGGCAAGCAGTATGATCACGAGTGCAGGAAGTGTCCAGCCAGAGCCCCATGTTGAAAGCGGTCCGCCCTCCACCCATGCGATCGTTGTAACAGTTGTTGGAGTATGTTCATAACGACTGGCGAGGGCTCAGGGGACAGCTCCAGTTAGGAAAAGGAACCACCATCCATCCGTGCTGGTGTGAAGTTTCGGCACGAATGTGCGCGGCGGTGGGGCGAGAGCCTCATTTGGGACACGGCTCGCCCTCCATCCGTGTAGTTGCGCGCGGCGCTGATGCGTCGCTTCGCGGCGCGGCGCTGATGCGAGAGTCGAACTTTGAAAATTCTGGGTCCTCGCACGTGACATTGGTGAGCATGCCAAGTCTCAGCATCAGAAGTGTTGAAGGAGCCTCTGGCCTAACGCCTCGCCCGCCCTGGCGACACGTTGGAGAGGGATGCACCACCAAGTGAAAAGGCACCACGAGTGTCGCAGTCAAATGCCCATGAATGGCAGAAGGCGCACATCCCAAGAAGAAACCTCTGATGGCCCCGACTCGGGTGCGGCCAGCCCCTTGTGAACACCCTGTCCCGCTCATAGGGTCTTCGCATCCCCCTCATGGTGGTGGGATCGGTGAGCGGTCCGCCCCCCACCAGGCTGCACGTACTGCTCGAGATTCGTGGGGACGGAAGTCTATGAATGAATCCTGTTCCCTCTCTCCCCTCCCCCCCGTCGCGCACCCCCCTCCCCCCCCCCAAGACAGAAGGCCTGGGGGCAAGATCCGAGAAGGCAGGAGGACAATGAAACCCACAAGCAGGATGCCCGCGCGGGTGGGTGGATGGGGAAGTAAGCGAGGGAGGTCAACCACGAAGGGCCGAGGGGGGAGGTGTGGGGGGGAAGGGGGTGGTGTGGGGAGAAGGGGAAACGGAAGGAGGACGAGGAGAAGGCAGGAGGTGGTTTACCACCTGCCCCAGTTTGGGCCCCAAACCTGTGCTCGATCCCAGGTGTCGCCACTCATTGTGGGGAAGGTAATAGTGGAGGTTTCTGTGATCGACCCAGGGGACGATTGCGCCATCGAGGCTCGGCTGCAGCATGTTTTGGGTTGGTCGCTCGCTCTGCTCCCAGCCATTACCTTGACCCCCCCAGCCCAGCCTGAATGCCTGGGCATCTTCGTAGCCTGCCCAGGCATGGCCATGCAGATGCCCAAGCATGTCACTGCTGATGCCTAGGCATCCGCGTGGGTATGCCTAGGCATCCCGGGACGCATACCTCAGCACCTGCTACGCCCGACTACGTCCAGCTGCGCCCAGCTACGTCCAGCTAACTACGTCCATGGAAGCATGCATCAAGTGATATTTGGTGATGCCTAGGCCTTGACCTGGTGATGCCTAGGCATCGGCCTGATAATACCTAGGCATCGAGCTGAGGATGCCTAGGCATCGGCAGGACGGTGCGCAGGGTAGGCATGGATTGTTCAAGGTATCAGGGCCAGTGGGCCTTGACCATCTTGCCCGAAGGCCGGCCGATCGAGAAGGAGGGAGGAAGAGGAGGAGAAGGAGGAGGAGGAGGAGGAGGAGGCTGCCGTCTTGAGGTCCTCCTTGAGGGCGCCAGCTTCTGGCTTTGCTCGAGAGGGTGGGCCCGCGCCCAGGCCTGGGGCTGATTTTGCAGCAGTCCTACCAGCACCGGTGGGACCTCATTGACGCATCAAAAAACGTGGTAAGGATGCGGCCGAACCGGCCCTCCCTCGTCGAGCCGATGCAGGATGGCGCCAGGAGGTGGGGGAGGCTTAGTCCTCCTCCTCCTTCTCCTCCTCTTCCTCCTCCTCCTCCTCTTCCTCCTCCTCCGCCCTCTCTCCTCAATGCTTCTTCCGCCCCGCCTGCTCCTCGTCATCCTCAGGAGCGCTCGAGTGAGCTCCCACCCTCCTGTCACCATGGAGCCGCTCAAGAATCGGGGAAAAACTCCACGGTCTCGCCTCCACTGCCCAGGCTTGCCACCTCTCGATGCCTCCCAGGGATAATCTACCCGACATTCTTCACCATGAGAGATGAGGGAGAGGAAAGGAATGAGGGAACGGGAAGAGAACCAAAAGGCGCATGAGATAGGTTCGCTGCTAGGGCGCGTGATCCACCCAGACCTCCTGTTAGGCGCGCACCCCAGAGGCAAGGATCGGGAGAGAATGAGGGAACGAGGAGGGCGAAGGAGGAGGAGGAGGAGGAGCGGGAGCGGGAGCCGAACAAAATACACAGCACTTGAGCAGCAGTGAGAGGAAGAAGTGAAGTGTCGAGAAAGTTACGGACAGAGAGGGGGAACGAGGAGGAGGAGGAGGAGGAGGAGTAGGAGGAGGAGGAGGGGAAGGACAAATAACAATAAGTATGGCGGGAACCAGACGTGGGCAAGTTCCCTGGGCGCACGTATCCGCTGGCCACACACCACGCCACATCGGGCTGCAGCGCGACGCGGAGCTCCTGCCAGAGGGCCGACGCCAGGGCAGGTGCCCCGGCGTCACCTGCAGCCATGACAGTTGCTGCTGCTGGTTCGGATCCCCCTCCTCCTCATCCTCCGTTGGTGTTGCTGCTGCTCCTGTGAACAGGGACGTCGGTTCCTGCTCTCCTCCCTTCTGGGTAGGGCCATCAAAGATCTCACCTGTGATGACCGCCGCTGGCCTCACACCCCTGGCTGGCTGCTTTCACTATTGGGTCTTCTAGGGTCCCTCTCCCACCATTGCGTTACTCCTTCTTGTTTCCATGCAGCAAAAGTGCTACTACAGGCGAACCCTTCCAAGGAGTTGCTTCGAAATGTTTGATGTGTGTTGCGTGTGCCTCTGCCGTGTGATGTGTTACATGCGTTTGATTGCGTGGTCGGTGGGCATGTCGCTTACGTGTTGTATGTGTCCATAGTGTGGTGTTAAAGGTGTGGGCAGTTTCTGTTTACTATATTAGAATATTGGGCCCCCAGCCCCATCGGCACACTGTCCTGCATCGGGTTGCGATTTGTAGTCCCGCACATTCTCGGCCCGAAGAGGCGCTCAGTTCGGCCCACGAGGGCGCCCTGAGGCCCCAGTTGGCTCCAGGACGCCCCCAGCCCCGAACCGGCCCAAGATCGCCCCAAGACGGCCAACAACGATTTCTAGACGGGCCAAGAGGCCCCCTTAAGACACCTCGAGAGGGTTCCAAGAAAACTCCCAGCACAGCCTCAAGAACCAACATTGTCTGATGCCCCTCCGAGTTTTTACTAATGTGATGGGTCTCGCCTCTTCGGATTTCAGGCCGCCCAAGACGGCCCAAGAGCCCCCCAAGATCGCCCCAAGAAGGCCCAAACGGCTGCCTAGAGGGCCCCGGGACGGCCAAAGAAATTTTCAGGCTGTCCCAAGAAGCCCACAATAGGACTTCAAGAGAGGCCTCAGAGGCGGAATTGGCAGTTCAGCGCGGTAGCTTAGAACGTAGGGTTCAAAGGGTGAGACGACAGAGAAATACTGAGAGGCTCGCTCCAGTTTTTGTTGGTTCGGCGCTCCTCTCCGAAGGGAGGAGGGCCACTCCTTCGAGGGGTGCCACAGCCATGGCGGCCGCCGTCATGCTCGCAGCCCCGGCGCTCGCCGGCGCCCTGCGCTGGGGCGCGGGCGCGGCCGCTGCCGCTGGGCCGGGTGCGCTGCTGGGCCCCCGCCCTGCAGTAGGCGCCGCACAGGCGCCAGCGCCTCAGACAGTTTTGTTGGTCGCAACACCAGATGACCTTGCAGGTCCATCGGCGACTGAACTCGCTCGTGGAGTCGAGGTGACGAAGGCCACCAGCAAGGGCGCGGAGCTGGTGCCTGAAGCTAGCCCGCGGCACCAGGAGCGCCAGAGGCAGCCCAGGAGTACTTCGTGTATTACGAGTACTACTACCCGGCGGAGCAGGCCCTCTCGCCGAGGACCGCGGCCCAGCTCAACAGTCGACAGTCGCTGCACGGCCGACGTCATCGTCGAGGACGACGAGGGTGGAGGCGACGACGATGACGTGGAGGAGGTCGATTTCGAGGAGATGGAAGCGCCACCCGCCCGGGGCCTACGCGCCGCGGAACCTCCCGACTCGCAGCCGCGGCCAGCTGGCTGCCCGCCTGGAGGACGGCTGCCCTGCCCCCCGCGCCCGCCGCCGCGTGCCCCGCTGCCGCCTGGAGCTGGCCCGCCGCGCTGCGGGCCCGCCTGGGCCAGGCTGCCGCCGCGGCCAACCCGCCAGCTGGCCTCCTCGGGACCCCCTTTCGCCAGGCTTGGAGCATCGCTTTCGGGGAGTATGCACTGATCGTCTGGACCTCCGTGCTGGTGACCCTGGGGCGCCTATGTGTCTCGATCGGTGGTAGGGGGGGCCTTAATTTCGGGGTGCGTTCGGCGCCCTCGTCTTCGGCCCCTTGCGCGCCTGCCTCGAGTGCCGCGGCCGCCGCTGCCGAGCGGCACCCCAGGGCCCGCCGCCGCCGCCGCCGCCGCCGCCTCTGGAGCCGGTCGGGCCTGGGACCACAAACCCCGTCGACAACGCGAGGTGCAGCGAGTTGCGCGCCCGCGGGGCCAGCGGCCACCGTCGGCACTTCGTCTTCGTCGTTGGGGGCCAGGATGCACGGGTCAGCCGAGGTACGCGCTGCATTTCGACACCCACAACCAAGTCGACGCGGACGACTTGGTCGAGCTCGGCCAGCTCGCCGACCCCGGGACGGTCGGGGCCAGCAGCATGCTCCGGCAGCCCGCGCAGCCAGCCGCCAAGCGGGGGCCGCCGGGCGACTGCTGGGGACCCGTGGCTGCCGCTGCCTCGCAAGCAGCTGCGGCTGCGCAGCGCGCCACAGCGCCCGTTGCTGCTGCTGGCGCCGCGGCTCGCGCCGACGCGTTCCCCCGCCCCCCCCCGCCGGGCCCCCAAACTGCGCCGCGGGGATTCGGGTTCCAGCCGAGTGGCCCCGCCCCCCGCCGCGCCGACTGCCATCTGCCTCTCGGCAAGGCTGGGATGGCTGGCGGCCTCCCGCCCTTGAGTGGATCGCGGCGGCCCCGCGCGAGGTGGCCCCTTCGCCAGCGGCCGCCTTGCAGCCGAGGCGCGCGCAGCCAGGGTCCCGCTGCTCATCGCGCCCGCCCACGACGACCGCATCCCGCAGGGCGTGGCGTCAGACGGTCGCAGCATGCTAGGCATGGCGGGGCCAGGCCGCCTCGATCACGCGCCGGCGAGCTTCCCGGAGGACGCGCCGCCGACGATGCGGCAGAGGGCGGAGCGCGCGAGGAATGGCCGGCACCGCCGCTGACCCCTCGGGCCGATGATGCGCCAGGAGGGGCGCCGCGAGGCGGTGCGCTCCGAGGGTCTGGGGCCCCCGACCAACGAGGGCATGATCGAGAAAGCGCGCCAGTGGATCTCTCTCTGAACACACTGAAGAGGGGGGGGTGCAGAACACCTCCCCCCCCCTCCCCCCCTCCCCCCCTTAAGAGTCGTGTCTGGGCTCAGGCCGAGATTTTGGGTGCAGATCAGGTCTGCGAATCTCGAGAGCTCGCGCGACCAAGGGAGTTGCCCTAGCAATCACGAAGGGCGACCCCGCCTGGCATCGCCGCGCGCGCCGGCAGCGCGCGGCGGCGAGAGTGCTGCTCAGGCTGGGCGCAGCTGCCCGCCTGCTGAAGCAACATCACAGCGCGATGGCGCCGCAGGGCGGACGCCGCGCGGCCAGCGGAGGTGGAGGCAGCCAACGGGGTCATCACGGTGGCGAAGCTACGACCCCGCCGTGGAGCTGCGGGGAATGCCACACCTCCAACTTCGCCACGAGGAAGTCCTGCCGCCAGTGCGGAGGAGAGAGACAGCAGGAGGCGCCATGGCAGCAGCGCCGACGCGAGCGTGGGGCCAGCAGAGGAGGCCAACGTGAGGCGAAGCCCAAGGGTGGCCAGCCCTCGCAGGAGCAGACCGCGGCGGCCAATGACAAGGAGCCGCTCGGCATCCTCCCCATGCTGCCGGAGCAGGCCAAGCTCCACAGCGCATGGGTGCCGCCCCCGCAGCAGGCCGCGGGCCTGAAGCAGTACCGCGAGTCGCTCAGGAAGGCGCTCACGGCAGCCGAGGGCAGGGTGCGCGCCATCCGCGGGCTGGTGGCCCCAGACCCCACGAGGCTGCGCAAGGCGGAGCAGGAGTATGCCGCCATCCACTGCCAGGTGATCCTGTCCAGGGACCCGGCGACGAGGGCCGACAAGCAGGAGGCCTTCGTGAAGAAGGCACGCAGGGCGCTAGAGGGCGCCAAGGACGCAGAGCTGGCCGCGCAGCTCAAGCTGGCTGCCGCTGAGGCCGACACCAAGCAGGCGAAGCAGGACCTTGAGCACGCTCAGGTCTTCCTGGAGCAGATGTTGAACATGGCGGACTTCTGCTCGTACCCTGCGCCGCCGCCGCAGCCGCGGGCGCAGGGCAGGCGCAGTGCATGGCAGAGCCCACCAGCATCAGGGGATGTGGAGGCCGAGGAGCTCTCGTCCTGCCTCGACGAAGAGAGTGAGCCACGCCAAGCACGTGATCAGTACGGAGATGGCAATGACGAGGACATGCCATCCACGCCGCGGCCGAGGCCAGAGGTGGCGGAGGTTGCACAGACGCAGCAGCGCGTGGCCTCACTCGAGAAAGGCATGGCGCAGCTGATGGAGCAGATGATGCAGATCAACTCGAACCTCCTGGCCGCCGCCGCACATGCAC